AATGAAATCAGTGTGCAAATAATACATTATTTCACCAAAGAGCAAACATGAAGCTGTTCCTGCTCCTCTACTCTGCTCTCGTGAGACCCCACTTGCAGCACTGTGTACATACAGTTCTGGAGTCCTCAAGTTAAGAAGGACACGGAGCTGTTGGAGCAAGTCCAGGGGAGACCACAAGGATGCTCAGGGACTGGAGCACCTCCTGTATAGAGACAGGCTGAGAACACTGGGGCTGTTCAGCCTGGAGAAGAGAAGCTGCGTGGAGACCTCAGAGCAGCCTTCCAGGGTCTGAAGGGGGCTACAAGGATGCTGAGGAGCGACTCTTCATTAGGGACTGTAGTGACAGGACAAGGGGTAACGGGTTAAATCTGAAACAGGGGAAGTTCAGGTTGGATCTAAGGCAGAAGCTCTTCCCTGGGAGGGTGCTGAGGCGCTGGCACAGGGTGCCCAGAGAAGCTGTGGCTGCCCCATCCCTGGCAGTGTTCAAGGCCAGGTTGGACACAAGGGCTTGGAGCAAGCTGCTCTAGTGGAAGGGGTCCCTGCCCGTGGCAGGGGTTGGAGTTGGAGGACTTTAAGGTCCTTTCCAACCGTAATTATCCTATGATTTTATGGAGCAGATGAAAGCATCCCCATTATTTGTCACACAGGCCTTTTCTTTAGCTGTAACTTGAATTCCAAGATGGAATTCATGCTCATTCCAGATTTCATTAGGTGCCTCCATCTGAAACTGTTTGAAGGCAATAAAAATTAGGATCAGATTGTTGAGGTTTTGATTTTTAAACAGTATTTCTCCCATTGCCATAAAGCAGTTAGAGATACAGCCCCGGAATTGGGAAAGGTCATAAAACAAACAAGACAAACCAAAATCTTAACAAAGTGAGCATAATATTCCTTTAAAACAATTTCCCCCACTCTTACAGCTCCTCAAGACATCTTAATAAGAATGTAATTTCCCATTTGCTCTTACCGAGCAAATCAAACCTGGTGATTTATTATTCAGATGGGCACAAAGGGTTTCTGAGATGCAAAAAGAAGGGCTATAAAAGCACAAATCACCAGTAACAACGACAAGCTAAACTGCCTTTCAAAGATGAACAAAATGCAGCCATTTAAGGTATCATACATCATGGTCTTCCAGACCCTCATTTATTTCCTAACTGTACAGCCTGCATGATAATTGAACTAGTACAGGATTCTGCATCTATACAGGGTATCTTTATTAGGCAAGTGATAACACAGCTCGTACATGCCACAAGAACCAGTTCATAATCCCCACAGAAGCATGGAATGGTTTGGGTTGGAAAGGACCTTGAAATCATCCAGTTCCAACCCCCCTGCATGGGCAGGGACACCTCACACTAGACCATGTCACCCAAGGCTCTGTCCAACCTGGCCTTTAACACTGCCAGGGATGGGGCAGCCACAGCTGTACCAGTGCCTCACCATTAGTTCCCCTCCCAAAAGCATCTGTATACTGAAAATGAGCTTTTGTGAACTTAAATGGTGAAAATATGAAAAAAAAAGTGAAAAGATTAAAAAACAGAACCTCCTATCCTCCCCAAATTAGGATTTCTGTTTTAGTATGAATGAGAAACCAATATCTACAGCAGTTCAGACTCCTTATGAGACAGCATTCAACTGGAACTCGGTATCTGAGCTTCAAGCTGCTAAGAGCTGCTGTTGCATTTTCTGTACAAAGGGAAATGAAGAAAGAGGTCTAAATCCTGCTCCTACTTATACCAACCAAGTATGCAAATAACTATCATAGCTAATGAGGTTACTCAGCATTTTCCTTCTTAGAGCAGAAACCCCATAAATAGCAGTTCACTTCATCTGCTACTTAATACTGTAGCTGCACGCAGGTACTGTAGGCATGAAACACATCATCTTAATCCCACTTTATCTTCACAATGTTCCTCCAGTTTAACAGATGTGCAATTACTCGCCCTTTACAGATAAAGAACAGACATAAGCATAGTCTTAAATGAATTGTCCAAGCTCATGGCAAAAAAACTTAGTGCAAAACACTAAATTAAATATCTCCTATTTATGGCTATGAGAGTCCTTATTTCTTTGTCCTCACAGCCCAGCAGATTTTACCCTTCCTCAAAGCAAGGAGCATGGTTGGACTGGATGATCTTAAAGGTCTTTTCCACCCTAGCTGATCCAATAATCCTATGATTGAAGAAGGACCTGTTTGCCAAACTTGCAGCCATCTCAGCTGGAAATGAGGAGCATATTTAACATTCCCCTATTTTTCTTCCAATGTTCAAGTAAATAAAGGAATTACAGATTAAACATAGAAAGCTGGCAGCTGTAATATAAAGGATTGAAAAGAACAACCTAAGTAATGTGCAGGAAGACTCAGCAATGTGAAAATATTTGATTTTAGCAAAGATATAATGACAGCATCGGCCCCAAATGACAAGAGAGAGAAAAGTCACAACATCATCTACATCTCTTATGTTTAAAATCAAGTGAGGCTCACTCTACTTTCCCCTGAAAAGGAGGTGGTAAGGTTCTGTAATAAATTCATATAATCCCAGGCTGGTTTGAGTTGGAAGGGAGCTTAAAGCTCATCCAGTTCCAACCCCTGCCATGGGCAGGGACACCTTCCACTAGAGCAGCTTGCTCCAAGCCCCTGTGTCCAACCCTGTGCCAGCGCCTCAGCACCCTCACAGGGAAGAGATTTATTAAATAGATCCGTGGATGTTGTTGCTTTTTCACAAGATGAAGATGTGAGCTCTGCAGGCAACAGCCCAGACCATGCAGACCGTCATTGCCAGAAGAAAACGCTATTGCTCAATCACCTTAGTGAAAGGAAAACCCCTCTGATAGAAGCAGTGGTTAAAAATCATCCTTATCTTCTCCATAATGATATTTAAAACCTGTTGCCCCAGGGCTGATTATCCTTGCACAGCGTTATGTCTGTGCCCCATTTATAAAGCTGAGCACTTATTCTGTAGAGTTTTAGAGAATTAGGAAGGACTTTCCAGTTGTGGACCACCTTCCTGCTTATCCAGCAGCACATGTGTGGCTGCTGACCCTGTTGGTGTACATAGAGATGTTTTAAATTGTGATTTGTGAAAAATAGCCTTTGCTGGTTATTGTGCTTGGTGTTATTGTAGTAGGAGTAAATACACAGGGAAAATGGAAGGACAGGCCAAGGGGAATGGCTTGAACCTGCCAGAGGGGAGACTGAGATGAGCTCTTAGGCAGAAGCTCTTCCCTGGGAGGGTGCTGAGGCGCTGGCACAGGGTGCCCAGAGAAGCTGTGGCTGCCCCATCCCTGGCAGTGCTCAAGGCCAGGTTGGACACAGGGGCTTGGAGCAAGCTGCTCTAGTGGAAGGTGTCCCTGCCTGTGGCAGGGGTTGGAACTGGATGAGCTTTAAGGTCCCTTCCAACACAAACCAAGCTGGGATTTGCTTCTGTTGAAGCTGCATATGCATTTGCAATGCGATCACCACAGTGTATCATTCTATCCTGGCTGCATACAGGCTGTAGGCAAAACCTGATTTATGTTGTTAGAGAAACCGCAAAAGTCCTGCAATACATTAGTCAGCGCTGCTGAAAATAAAAGGAGAGAAAGAAACAAGGTATTTCTTGCAAAAAGTTGATATTTAAGTTCTTTCCACCTATGCCTTTGAAGGGAAGAGAAGTATCTCCGGTAAGAAAGTTAGACTGCAATTCAAACCGTGCCATCAGCTCCCTCCTCGCTGCGGGATGCCCCAGGGCAGAGCAGCAAGGGGACGCAAAACCACGGCCCTGAGCACCCTCTTTGAAGAGCAGTGGTAAAGAGCAGGGGAGGAGGAGGGTGACAGAGTACCTGGACAGGTAGAGACAGCGAGAGCAGCTCAGCTGCCCTCTGCTGACTGCCTCATTCGTTGAACACTCCTCGGCTCCCGCTGAACCGCAATAGAACAGGCGAGGGTTTCCGTGCATTCATCTCCACGCTGCCGCGCGGGTGCTTAGTGAGAGCCGGGTCCGTACCCATCCCTTTACCCGCTGTGGGGCTCTGGCTGAGAGAGCACAGGAGGTCGAGACGCTGCTGCAGCAGCCCCGGTCACTGGCGCAATGCTCTGCTCCAGCTGGTTAAAGAGACATCCAGGACCTGAGCCAGTGCTTCTGCTGCATCGGGATGTACCTACCGCGACAGCAGCAGGGCATTCCGTGCTGGGGCTCGTCCAGTTTCCAACCCGGGGTCCCTTCTGTAAATCCCAACATCAATAATGCATATCAACGCTACCGGTGGTGGTGATGGTGCTGCTACCGGCAAACTATGTGGTCCCCAGTGGGGCTAAGCGGGTTTCGTGCTGTGGTTAAAAGCACTTATTAAACAGGGATACTACTGCAATCCTCCGAAGGAAAGAGACTGACCCATCACATCGTGCCTCTCATGATATCGATAGGTCTGCTTAAATCCACATGACCCATTTCATTCCTAACTCTTTTTAATGAAAAACATCTCTAAAAAGCCCTCAACAAAATGGTAAAGGGGTTTAAGAGAAGAGGAAGGAAGACGGGATTGAAGTTTTAAGGACGTTATCATGCTTGCCGGCCCTCGTGGCTCTGTCAAACTGCTTCGCTTTTAACTTGCATCCATTTTATCCAAGGTTCAAAGCCAAACGGGAGCATGCACTCATTCCGCACCTTATGGATATGTATCTCTGTACAAAACAGCTCTAACCGGGCGCTGGGGTGGGATCCCCAATGTACCAGCATCACCCACTCGGCCTCTACTCCATGTTCCCGATCGAGAGCCGGGGGATGCTCAGCGCGGACCCACCGCTTCCAAACGCATCTGTTATGGCCACAGAGGGGCATATACCGCACAGAGAGGAGAGCAGGACTAACCGGTACCATCGCAGGTCCCTATATCCACCCCTCCTCTGCTCGCTAGACCCCCCCCCGCCTCAGCCCGCGGCCTCCCGCCGCCTCAGCGGCCCGCCCCCCGCCGCCGGGCCCGGCCCCCGGCTCCTCCCGCCGCCTCAGCCGCTCCCGCCCGGCTCGGGGCCGCCCGCCGGTCCCGCTCAACAAGTTCCCCCGGTGCCGCCGGGACCCGGCCGTGAGGATCCCCCCGGCGCCTCCTCCCGCCCCCCCGAGCCGGGCTCCGCCGCCCATGAGGGCAGCGGGGGGAGCGGGCGGCGGCGGCGGCTGCCTCTAGCGAGCGCTCGGGCGGCCGCAGCTGAGGAGCGGCGGGGCGGGCGGCTCCGGTTCGGGCTCCGGCGGCCGATGCGCGGAGCGGCTGCGGGCCAAGCTCGCCCCGGCGGCGGGAGGGAGGGAGATGCAGCGCAGGGGGAGCGCCCAGCCCGACACTTCAGCCTGAGGAAGCACGAGGTAAGCTCGGCGCGCTGACCCGAGCCCCCCCCCCCGTCCCTTCTCGGAACCCCCAAATACCCCCTTCCCCTCGGTTTTCCTGCCCAAAACTTCGCCAGGGATGAGCACGAAGCAGCGCGCTGAGCGCCAGCGTTATGCAATAGTGCCCGTGCCTGCCTGCGAGCAGCTATTGCATACAATAACTTTCATGACAGATAAGGAGAGAATATCCCCTACGCGCGTCCAAACCGCGACTTTCTTCTAGAAAGATACCAGCCCTCCGTCCAGTGCCGCCTTTCCGAGGGCAGCCGGGAGGGCAGAGGTGTAGCTGGAAGGGTTTTGGAAGAGGAACGAAGTGCTTTTAGCTCTCCAACGGGATTGATGGCGAGGAACTACCGCCGCTGGTGAACTTCAGCGCTGGGCGCTCCAAACGCTGCCCTAATGAAGTGTCCGTGCGGCGCGGCAAGGGACGGGCAGCGGACGTGGGCACCCACACGGTAACTTGCAGGAGAGCACTTCGTTAGCCACCAAAGCAACCCCAAACCCTCGCCAGCGCCTGAAGCTGCCGCTGTTCTGGGAGCCGTCATTGTTAGGAAGCGGTGGTTCCCCCCCTTTACTCCACCGTTCCCTCATCCCCATCGTCAAAATCGGAGATGCTGTGAAAATGCAGTAGCAACTGGGACAGAAGGTAGGACAGCTCCAGCACCAAAGTCACAGCCCTGCACCTTGCCTCCTGCGAGGCATATCCAGAGCTTCCCGCTTTGCCTTCCCATCCTGCCTTCCTACGGCAAGGAAAAACCCTCCCCTGCGACCCCATCGTCCCCACTCACTGCTGTGTTTGCACAGAGGTGCAGCAGCGAGGGGTTGCAGGGCTGCAGCCAGCCTGGGTCTGTTTGGGGGGGGTGCAGCCAGCCCCGGCAAAACAGGGACATCTTGGAATTCTGAAAGCAGGGAATAGCATTCTCTGCTTATGTCACCATCTCCCGTGGTGTCTGTCCCAGAGGACTGGTCCCCCCCTCCTGTGCCAGGAGTCAGAACGGGGGATGGAGCAGTTGGGTTTGACCTTGTGTGTCTAAGCAGCTAAAATCCCGCACGCACGAGCATCACAGAGGAAAATTTAACTCATTAGGCTCTAGGATAGGGAAGTTTGGGAAGACCTGTTTTTCCAGCCTCTGAAAATCACTGTTACTCTGATGAATACTGGAAAGCAGCAGCAAAACAGTAACAGGTCATGCCTAATGTAAACTGGGAATTTATTCCCTCTGCTTAAGCGTTGCATAGTGATTACCGTGCCTCTTTACAGTGCTGTCAGGAATGCTGCAGGAATCAAGGTTAAAACACAGCTGCTAGATGGAAAAACTACTAGCTAAAATCATAAGAAAATAAAAGAAATCCTTCCATTTAGCTGCCCTAGCCATGTACTCAGAATAATCTAATGTAAGATCTCAAGCAAAGAGATCTATAGTAGAAATACAAGCACGGAGAGTAATTTATTTCCTTACTTTTGGTGTGAAGCCCATTGGTGTTCCACCAGTCTGCTCGTGCCTGCATTTCTTTACTACGGTAACGCTGCTCTCTTCCACTACAAATAACAGTTCTAAGTTAAAAGCTGGATTATTTTTGTTCCTAGTATTATAAATGCGTATGAGCAGCTCCGATGAAAATATCTCAGTGCTCAGAGATTGTTCATTTATCTTCTGGAGGTTTATATTCTATACAGCTATGGCAGACAGTCATGGAGTTCAAGAGAAATACATCATGTCCACTGTATAGCCAAATATATAGATTTGGATATCTAAATATACTGAGCAGTTGTAAAATGAAATTAATGCCCCAGAGTTTGAGGTGCTGTTGCATTTAAAGCAGAATGAGCTCAGCAGGGAAGGCTGATTCTAAATAAGATGGGGGGTTTGTTATTGCTAAGGACATCGTGATGCCCTTGATGAAGAATATGTGTGCTTTAGGACTCTGTAGTGATTAACGATGTGTATTTTTAACAAGATGCTCAAAATAATTCCCATCTTGAATGAAATCAGTGCCTTTCCCCCAGACTGGCACGTAGAAAAACCAGCTGGGCAGCAGCAACACAAAAGAAAGTGTTAGTTACTTATGGAGAGGGACAGCACTTCACATTCAATGCACCCTTCTACTAATGAAGCTCACAAACAAGTAGCTCATAAGGCTTTCCCCTCCTCCCCATGTTAACTGTTTCACTGATTGAAGCATTTTGGCATGAGATACACACGGTTTATATAGCTAATCTGGAGGGAAATAAAAGATAAGAGTGGCTAAGTTTAACTTATAGAAGGAGAACATGGTCAGAAGCCCAAGAGCTGACTCACAGACAGGCACTACCAGAGATCAGACACTGTTTGTCACCACAACACACATTTAAATGACTTAGAAACCCAAACTCCACAACAGATTGTTCAAACAACAATGAGATATTAACACTAACACGTCGTTTATCCTGTTCTTGAGAGTTTAGAATCAAACTCAGCAGCACCAATCCTTTGCTGGTGGGCTGGTGAAAGCCAAAACCATCAGTGCTAAAAGGCAAGGATACCTCTGCAAAGCTATAGTGTCTCAAGGCAGTTCCTTATCCAACCGTAGTCTTGTTGGCCAGGGAGAACTGAGGATGTGTGGTCACGTAATTCATGCCTACTTGAGGGAATTACAGTAAATCCAGAATATTTGAGAACATAATTCCCATGATTGTTTCAACTAGCTATTACAAGGGTCTTACATTCTGCTTCATGACAGCCACTAGTGAAAGAGCTGCAGAAAATTTGGGCAAGAGATTAAAAACCATGTCAGCAACAAATCTGCTTTATAGCCCAAGACTCCCTTAGATTTTTACTAATCAGACTGCAAATTAAATAGGCTTTAAGGAAATGAGCTAATGAGCATATTTTAAGGTAAAAATAAACTCCTCTGATGGTAAATTCAGTGGGAATTCCACATTTAGCCTTCTGAAAATCAATGCATGCTTTTCTTCTGCTTCAGAACACAGTCTAACCTCTGAACAGACCCAGGGACAGCTCACTAGGTATTGACATTTAGGTTTAAACCATTACTGACCACACAAAAGGTGTGACCGGAGCAGCCTCTTATTTTAGTGGCGCATCCCCACTTTGAAGTCTATTTACCACAATTTTACTACATTCAGGCTGAAGGCAGCTTCTCTGCTGATCCCTTTATGCTCTGGAAAAAGTTTGACTTGCTTATACCATTGCCGAGCACATCGTGGTGATCAGTGCCTTAAAACTCGCCCTGCTTTCCCCTTGTACATACATCACAGGCACAGAGAAGTGGTTGTAAATATAACAACCTGGTGATCAAACAGAACTCAAGGTTTCTTCCTCTTTCCCTGCTTTTATTTCTCTTCAGCAGCAGAAAGATTATTCCAGGCCTGATTTCACTCCAGTAATAAGTTTTCCACTGATTTTAATGCAGAGGAGCATAGGCAAGGAAGGGCCATTTTCAGTCTGAATTAAGAAGAGATGGATTTAAAAGCCCTGGGACTGAAGCCCTCCAAGTCCTGCGATATTTGGGTGCAGATCTGAGCCCTTTAATGTATCCTTACAGGAGATTTTTGTCCTTGCAGGGAAGTGCTGGAGCTCTACGTATCAGGTTCCTCAATCTCTGCACATCACTGATGATTTGGCCTCAGACTCAGCCCGTATAAAACAGTGTGTTAAACACCTCACAAAAACTACATGGTATGTCCAGATATATCTGAGGCTGCAGCAGCTAAAACAGAGAGACCAGAGTAATCATTTGTAACCAGTAAAATGCCCATGATGTGCTCATGTACATGGTGTAAATTCAACTGTATGGCTCAGTGCAGCCAAATTACATAGAAATTTCTAATAAATGAGACCTTAGAATTAATTTTCAATGCAAGAAACTACGACTAGGAAAATAATACTGTTCATAGAATTGTAAAATAACAGACTGGTTTGGGTTGGAAGGGGCCTTAAACTCATCCAGCTCCAACCCCTGCCACAGGCAGGGACACCTTCCACTAGAGCAGCTTGCTCCAAGCCCCTGTGTCCAACCTGGCCTTGAACACTGCCAGGGATGGGGCAGCCACAGCTTCTCTGGGCACCCTGTGCCAGCACCTCAGCACCCTCACAGGGAAGAGCTTCTGCCTAAGAGCTCATCTCAGTCTCCCCTCGGGCAGGTTAAAGCCAAGAGGGTAGATTTAGATTAGATGTTAGGAATTCCTTTACCTATGAAAGGAGTCAGAGCCATAGCACCTAAAGCTGTAGAAATGCCCAGCACAACTTAACATTAGTTAAAAACGGACCTTTTGTATTTAGAGCCCACTTTGACCAGTGTTACAAGGCCTTTCCAACTGAAATACAGCCCATTTCCATGGTGACCTAAGCCACAGGACTAAGATGCCTTGTTAAGACTCGGTGAGACACACGAAGCGGAACACAGGTATGTCATACATCCAAAGCTATGTTTAAATAGGGTGGTTTGGATATCAGCATGATTTGTGCTTCCTGGGACATCACAGCAGCCAACAGTTATGCCAGAGCTGTGATGCTATTCCTTGGAAGAAGCTGGTGAGGTCAAAGCTGATGCAAGTTAGGCAGCCATACATGTCATACATACCTTATACACCATATACATGGTATACATGACTTACAAATTAAAACAGGGGCTCTGTGATGCTCAGTACAAACCCACTGAAACACGTGTGTAAATTCAGGACTGGATTTTAAGGAACATCAAAAGTGGTTTTAGTTTGGTTAGTTACTTCCCGCTCTCCTTGGCAGAGAGGAAGAAGTAACAATGCAGTGACAGGACTAATATTTGTGCATTCATATATGAATAAGAAAAAAGAAGTCTACAGCAAGCCCAATCTCTTCTTCAGAACATTAGTAATCTGTTGCTTATGCCCATTTTGTTATTATAGGCATTACTCCCTTCTCCAAATACAGTCAGAAATGAATGAGGACATACCCACAAGTAAAGAAATTTAACTTGTGGATGGGTTTAACACATTT